GATATGATTATGAGCAGTAATAAATTGGGCTCGATACATGGTCATCAGTAAATATTACTGTATAAAACTGTGATTTTATCAAAATAAAAAATTTATCCATAATGGAATTATACTCTACCACTGATTGACTGACTGGTTTCAACGTGGAACTTTGCACCGATGTGCATCAGTTCAAGTCACCACACTTCACTCAGCATACAAAGCCAGAGAAGAAGAAGAAGAAGAAAGTAAAAGAAACGCAAAATAGAGACAGTAAGCAGAGATATGAGGCAAAAAGAATAGTAGTATTAAAGAACCATATAGTTTTATTGGATATTATAAGTCACAAAGAATGAATGCATCTGTGCCAGCCATTGAGAATGATTTTGACTCATGTCACCAATTGTCTCCAGTCTTCATTGGTGTTTACCGTCCCGAGGACCCCAACCTGGAAGTCTACTCTATCACTGTGCCCAAGTTTTATCCTTGTTCATCACTGTTTGAACTATCTCTAATTGTCGCAAAAATTTTCCAACTTCAATAATCCCTTGAGTCTCTTACATGTATATGCAGATTATCACACCCATGCTCTTGAACTGCAATTCTGTCCATCTTAACAACTCGATATTATTTTAGAAAAGCGTTAATGTTGTTAATAATTATTATTCTTCAAACATTATGTGTATATAAAGCTGTAAAGTTAAGCGAGGAAATTATCAAAAAAGAATATTCTTCACTCACTGCCTTTTTTCTGCCTTCTAAAGTAACAAGTTTTATCAAAATTAAAATGACATTTTTATTGATTAATAATCGCTTAATAAAAAACATTCTTTTCAATTCATATAGTGATCCAGTTGGGACAAATCTAACGGATAATGCAGATTCAGATGAAATTCCACTTAGTACTCTTCGACGATTTATTGCTTATGCACGTGAACGTTGTGGACCTCGTTTATCTGAAAAAGCTGCAGAAAAATTATCAAATCAATATGTTCTCATGAGATCTGGTTCTACACGATATGAACAGGAGACTGGTAAACGATGTGCTATTCCTATAACAGTAAGGTAAGTTGTTATCGTAGCAAAGTGACTATCTTATGCCTTATTCATGTTATATATGTTGGTTCAACAGCGGTAGAGTGCTCACCGACCACGTATGTAGTTGGGGGGTTCGATTGCTAACCGATATGCACTCCTTAGACCTTGTTTGGCAGGTATAAAGCCCCGTAAAGACGGAAGGTTGGGGTTGAGACGCGTTACAAACCACTGCTACTGAAAGTTCAAACCTCAAACTTAAAGCCTTATGTGTTCCACTTGTGATGCAAAGAAAACGTTTTCAAGCATTGGATTTGTAAGGATTTTGTTTGATTACACGGAGGATTTCATCATGAGCTGACATCAGTTAGAGAACCACTGGCAGAAGTTAGAATTCAAGGACCATTGGATCGGGTCCCAGTAGCTCAATGGTCTCCGAGCTCGCCTTGTAACCAGAAGGTCCTGAGTACGAACCTCGGTGGGTGCGTGCTGCTGAAAAGTCCCGAACTAGGATGAAACAGCTGTCCAGTACTCCCAGGCTTTCCAGTGGTTCTCAAACTGATGTCAGCTCATGATGAAATCCTCCATGCAATCAAGAAAACATTTGTTCATTTTTTTGTGTGTATGCAAATCTACCATTTAAAAATGACTTATTTCATACCGTGTTAATTGTTCTCTTCCTCCATAGACAACTTGAAGCAATCATACGAATTTCTGAATCATTGGCTAAAATGCGTCTAGCTGCTTTTGCTACAGAATCTGATGTTGAAGAAGCCTTACGACTATTTCATGTATCGACATTAGAAGCTGCTATGACTGGAAGTCTAGAAGGTGCTGAAGGATTTACAACACAAGAAGAGCATGATCTTATTCTACGTGTAGAGAAACAGCTGAAGAAACGATTTGTTATCGGAAGTCAAGTGTCAGAATATGCTATTGTACAAGATTTTACACGACAAGTATGTATTTTCAATATATTTTTTGATTCCCTCTGCTGTATAGAGGTTATACGGATTTTCTTAAATATTATGGTTTTTATTAAATGTTCTGAAATGTGAATGATCTTCCTAAGGTGACTTCTATGACAATGTGACCACTCTTCACTGATACATACATACCCATGTGCTTAATATTAGTCTTGAGTTTTCAAGACCTTCCTATCCGTAAACAACTATTCATCCAGTTTCTGTAGTTATAGTTTTACAGATACACTGTAAATGATCATTCATATGAAGTAATTAGCATAGCACGTCGGCGGCACAGCAGTACTATGCTCGCCAACCACCCAGGTGGTGTGGGGTTCGATCCCCGGCCACCGACGCACTCCTTTACCTCGCTAAGGCAGTAATAAGACTGGTAAAGAGCGGAAGGTTGGGCGTGAGGAGGGTAGCAACCCCATCCCGTAAAAATAAATGCCACTGCTACCGAAACTTCAAAGCTCTAGCTGGAAGCCCTATGTTCTACTGGGAACTTACAGGAACAGAATAATAAAAAATAAAAATTAAGACAGCAGTAAGTATTTCTCAAAATACAATAGTACCAGTGTGCTGTATGATACTACAAGGTATTCAAATCCGACCATTTTATCTCCATCAATAATCAGTATAGTTTTTCAATGAAAGCTGAAAACTATTGGAAAATTGGTAATGAAAACACATTATAAACGTTAAAGAATCTTCAAATTGAACTCTGAACTGGTCAGTTACTAGTTTATACCCTTACCTATCTACTGTGATTTGAAGAATGGGATACTATCCCAGCTCTATAAATAATGCTTTGGATGGTTTAGATACAATGCTTTTTATGTGAAGGAGTTAGGAAGTATGCATGAAAACTTATTGACTCTTATTACCTCTGATAAGACCGACCAGTCTAATCGACAAGTAAAAACAGAGATTCCTATACATCGGAGAATTCTATAAATGCTAAATTTCAGTTTTGCTCTACTCCTTTTTTTGCGCTGTGATAATAAAACTTAAACATCAAACATATTTGTTTTTAGGTTGATTTACATTTCCTGTTGATTGATTGTGCTGGACCGAAACACTGGATCCATGTCGACATGTTGTTTCTTAATACAGCCACGCTTTGACTGTCCTATGACCAATGTAAAGTTATTTTGGTTGATGTTGAATTGACAGTGGAATCCTGAATGCATATCTCATCTTACTTGGCTTTGGCGTTTCAAACGATGGTTGCAAGGTTCCAGTCCCAGTGGGGGGAACACCGTCGCTAAATAGGAGTGCAGGCACATTGAGATGATGAGTTCCAAATAGTAGGGTGAAATGCGCATCCTGGATTCCACTGAGGTTAGAAAATAATTTCGGTTTACTATTCCGTTCATTTACTACACCTTGTACACTCCCTGCATAATACCTGTCTGTCTGGATTCAACATAGAACTTGCCACCGAAGTGCAGCAGTTCGAGTTGCCACCTTCCAAATAGCACACAGAGGTAGACAAGAAGATGAGTGAAGAGAATCAATACAGTCTGACAAGTATAAGAGTGAAATAGAATGGGTAGTGGTAGAAAGGAATATGAAAGATTACAGAGACTGAATACATCTGCGCTGGCCATTGACAACGATTTTGAGCCATGTCACCTATTGTCTCCAGCCATTGATTCCTAGAAGTCCCGAGGGCCTCAACCCGGAAGTCTGCATCTCCCTACCTGACTCAGTTTAACTGTCAAGGATTTCATGGATTGATGAGGCCATGTTTTTGTTTGGCCACCACTTACTCTTTTCCAACCTGCACCTATATCAGCTAGCAATGCCCGTCGGGGGAGGCGATGGTTAGGCATGCGCAGCACGTGACCTAGCCATCTCAATCTAAGTAACTTTATAGCCTCGTCGGTTGATTTTCCCTCTTTGCCCAACACTCTACGCCTAACGTCAACATTACTTACCTTATTAAACCACCTAATATGAGAAAGAGATCGCAGACATCTATGATCGAAAGCAGTCAACCTTTTCATGTCTTCAACTCGTATTGGCCATGTTTCAGAGCCATAGAGAAGGATGGAGCGAACTGCTGAGCAGTACACACGTCCCTTGGTTGATAGCCGGATGTCACGCCTACGCCAGAGATGGTGTAAGTCAGCGAAAGCAGCTCGAGCTTTTCGGATCCGTGCTGAGATTTCATCGTCAATCAGTCCGTTGGTGCTAATACAACTTCCCAAATAGGTGAAGTGGTCAACATGTTCTATCACTTCAATCCCTATCGCTAAGTTAGGAGTTGACGTGGTCCAGTCCTGTAGCAGCATCTTACATTTTGTAGGGGCGAATCGCATGCCAAACATACGAAGATTGCTGCTCAAGGTGTTCAGAAGACTGCATTTTGTCAGCATCCTCCCCTAACAGGACTATGTGATCTGCATATTCTAAGTCCATAAGACTATTCCCTGGTAACAAGTCGATTCCTAAGTCATTACGTTCAGTTAACTGCATAATACCATACACTATTGATTGATAGATACAAGAGTAGTTGGACATTACTCACACCAACCAGTGGTGCTTGCTTCCTAACCAGGTGGAAGTGACCTAAACAACGGCCGACTGTGTCGCTCGTTTGAGGCTGAGGTTTACCAGGATTTCAACTCAATGCAGACAGCGGACTTAGTTGAAACCACCGTAATTCTAGCCAGCCACTTGGTTGAATCGAATTCGCGGTCTGCAAATTACACAGCTCGAAGTGAATTTTCACCACAGTTGCCTTTAGAAAACGAAATTATTCACATTGCAATAAGGGATCCGTTTGGGTTTTTTGACTGCTGTTTATGCTATGAAGCAAAGCGAATTGTGGTGATGTTTCACATCGAACTGCGTAAATCGCGATTATCATTCTTTTATTGCGCATGAGTATTTGAACAATTTTTCTTGTTGCAATTACAGGGCTTTCCAGAACGTGCTGTTACTAAAGTTCTTCATTTTATGATACGTCGTGGTGAAGTACAATATCGAATGCAAAGGCGTATTCTGTATCGAATTAAATAACTCTGTTCATTATTATTATTATTTTGTCTCAGATGAGAGTTTGTCATCCTATCGATTGGTATTCCAATTATTTTTTAAAAGAATTTTATAACTAAACGTTAACTAATACATATTTGTATACTTTAAATAAATAACTGTATGTCTACACAGTTGTTGTTTCTCCGTGTGCAAACTGGGATATTTTCACATATAAAAGGAGGGGAAGATTCTGCGAAATGTAATGGTGGTATGGTCGCGCGTAAAATTGTAATTCTTACTTTGGCTTATTTTTTTCCTAAGGCATCTACTCTAGTAATAAATTATAATCATCGACTGTAATTAATCAAAGGATATGAGAAACGTGTGATTATTGCAAAATAGGATAAAACGCGAGTTCTGCTTTTCATTGCTCTGCTGCTAGCTACTATATGACGTATTTAGTGGTGTGTAAGCATACACCAGAGTTTAGCGTCGTGTCTGTTCTACATGTATACGATAAAGGGAAGTAAGTCAAAACACTGTGTCCCCGGGTCCCCTCTTGTCACCTGACGTTACGTATATTGCGCTAGAAATTAAGAAGCGTTTTCAGAGCAGAATAAGACGACTTAGCATCTGGTTAAAGATTACTTTGTTTTCATCATAATTTCTCCACAGGTTTGCTTCGGTATAGTTTTATTGCTTCAACAAAAGCAATCAGTGGTCTTGTTGCTCACAATAATTCCTGGTGCGAAGTCGTGACCAGCGGGCTGCACCAAATCAGGCAAGAGGACAGTTACTCGCTGGTGACATTGTCGGCTGTGCTGTATATCGTAAATTGACAGGATTAGTGGCCGAATGGTCTACTAGATCGCCTTATAACTGCAAGGTCCTGGGTTCAAACCTCTATGGGTAAACACAACTGAAGAGTCTGGGACTAGGACGAAACAGGTTTCCAGCGTTCTGCGGTTTTCCAATGATTCTCTAACTGATGTCAGCTAGTGGTCAAACCCGTGACTAATCGAATCTCTGCAAACCAACACTTGAAGATTATAAGCGCTCCTTCTGTAAACTGATATCGCATACAGCCTGCTTCTTTCAGAAAATATTGTAGGGAAAATTTATCAAATGCTAAGGCATATTTTGTAGTCAGTTTTGGCTAACTAATGCAACTATTCACCAATTCGATAACAATTTGTGTGCATATTAATTATATAGCATTTTAAATTGATCACAGAAGCGATATCACATGAAATGTAGATATCCTTCGCTACCATGGAGGAAACTTAGGTCTCAGCGCTTCCCGAGAATAGCTTAAACCATCTGTTAACGAGTACTTTCTGTCTTCAAAAGATGTCACTAAGGTGTAAATATACATATTTCAAATTTTAATGTCATTAATTTGGTAATTTTGCTGAGAAAACTGAATGGACTGGTTGGTACTTAATATAGGATAGGTTAAAAATTATGAAAATGTTGTCGTTTACCGACGACACCTCAACATGTTACAGAACAAAGTAATGAAAACAATGATTTATTTCTCTTGTAATCGGAAATTATGGCTATTTTCTATAGTCTAACAGAGAAGTGTGCGTCGGTGGCATAGCGGTTAGGACGATCGCCGACCGTGCACATGGTCCGGGGTTCGATTTCCGGCCACAGACGCACTCCTTTACCTCGCTAAGCCAGAAACAATGCTGGTAAAGAGGAAAGGTTGGGCATGAGGCTAGCGACCCCATCCTGTAAAAATAAACACTGCTATAGAAACTTCAAGCCTTTAGCCTGAGGCCCTATGTTCCACTGGGAACGTGAAGGAAAAAAACAGAAGTTTTTTTTATACATAGATCAGTGATACATTTGTCTGCCCATCATAACATTCTACGAAACAGCCTTAGTCTGACAATTTGATGTTATTAAAATGGAGATTATGACTGCAGTTGAAAAGGATTCTAACCAAATGTCTTTGGTCGGCAGTCGAAACACCTTACTAACTCTACTACCTGACACTTTAGCCCTCGAGTATGCACGAGCGATACAAAAGTGTCCGATCATCATCACACAAGAACTTTTGTTTCAAATCTAGATTTAATTGAATTAGCGGTGTAGTCAGCTGTTGTAAGTGCTTCTTAAGCGGAAGATTATTGACATTTAAGGGACCTCTGAAACTTTAAAGGATTCGAACCATTGACATTATAACTGCCAGTCAGAAGTTAAGCAACTAAAATCAGTCGCAACAAGTGATGATATATGGTAACCATCTAAGACTGTTCATCAAAATGACCACCTGACGTAGTAGGTTCTAGGATGAATATGTCCTGCTCTTCACACCGAAATACTCTTTTGTGACCACTGTGCTAAAATTCCTGCCCACTGCCTTAACGCAATAGAAAACAACAATGAAAGTGACAGAACAGCGTATGAACCTGTCTTTGTCACCTGCCTCCTGAATCAGACTTCAAGTCAAAGGCTTTGGGCTAACCCTTCAACACAACCACCCGCACCATATTCCATCCCTCGCACAGACTAAAAGATTTTATGTATTGCGCTTTCCTTAGCGCGCCTGTAATGTACCAAGTTCATGTTTTAACAGCAATAATAACAGTATCACTATACTACGAAATGACAGAAGTTAGAAATCATAGGGGTCATCAAATACTAAACTAAGTGACTCAATGGCAATGATAAACGCGCTCGCCTCGTAACATGAAGTTCTTCAGTTTGACTTCCGCTGAGGTCATGGGTATTCTCATCACCATACTACTGAAGAGTCTCAAACTAGGGCGAAACATCTGTTTTCAATAATTCTCATAATGAAATCTTCATCGAAATTAATTTAACAAGAAAAAACAACCTCAAAACCTTTGAAAACAAAAGATTATCATACTTTAAATTAATTAATTAAAATTGAAAATCAATCACAAAGTGTTTGCCTGTTCATTCATTCATTCATGATTGGAATGTGTATGTATAGGAGGAGGAGATGTATGTGTACGAGGAAATAAATGTTGTGACGATTGATGTTATAAAAAAAACAAATATTATGAATAAATGCCAAAATGAAGAAAATGCCAAAAACAATAAGGTAAAAACTCAAGTTGACTGACTGATTTAACACTATTCGACTGACAATTAAAACAAATACACAAATAAATATAAAATAAATAAAAATACTTGAACATAAACAAGCAAAAAACAAAACAAAAGCAATGATAAAAGTCAAAAGACATTGTGTATGATGTGGTGTGCGATGATGTGGAATGATGATGTTTGGAAGAATGAGAAAAAAAAATAAACAAAACGAAAAAAAACATGACGAAGAAGAAATCAAGAAATAAAAATTACAGACATAAATGCATGTCATTATTCTTTAATGAAAGAAAGTGAATTTCTACTAATGAATGGTGAATGAAATTCACAAAACTAAATCATCGAATAAAGCTTTCTCCTCATCCATATTATTATCGTTATTATTGCTACTGTTGCAATGATTAGAGGAAGTCTTATTCATCTTTTCATTTGCTAGACAACTCCTTTTCGACTTACGATATGACTTCAATTTAGACATAGAAATTTTTGTTCGACCTCCACCGGCAGTAGTAGTACCACCAAATATAATTGACTGTTCTGGAGGTGGTTGAAGATGTGAACGATACGGTTTTGCTGACCATAAGCGTAGTTTTTGACGACGTCTCCATTCAACAATCAATAAGCCTATAAAACAACACACTAAGCCAAGACTAAAAGCTAACAATAGTGCTGATGTATGCCCTTCTGATTGACTTTGTTTCACCGCCGTGATAATACTTTGTGAAGAGGAATCAGTTGTTGTTATTTGAAGATTAGCAATAGTTGATGAGTGTTCATGTTCATTGTCTAGTTCTTCTTTTCAAAAGAACAACGAGAATAAAAACAAGGCAAGAGGTATAAGAGAATAATGAGGAAAATTACTTATAAAAACATCAGAAAAAAATTATGATTTGTTTTTCCTGTTGACTGATGGCGCTGAAATGTTCAGCCTCTGTTGTTAACCTGTCGACTACTCCTAGTATGGAAGACGCTTCGATGATGCCCTCAGGATTATTAACTTGAAGTGATTTACCCACCTGGGAAGCATCGTTTCAACGTTACAGGCAGACGGAACTGATGAGGATATCAAAGCAACAATCGGAAAAGCAAGACAAGCTATCATTTCTCTCAAGTCTGTGTGGAGGTCAACAGCACTCAGCATTAAAAATAACATCCGGATTTTAAATTCCAATGTGAAGCCAGTCAGTGCTACTATACGAATCAGAGACTTGGCCAGCGCGTCATAAAGAGCACCTCAAACAAACTACAAACCTCCATTAACATATGTCTTCACTCAAGATCAGATGATCGGCCAGAAAGGATCAGCAATGGGGATCTCTGGCAATGAGCGAACCAACCAGGAACCGATTGTGCAACAAATAACCAGGAAGAAATGGAGGTGGATTGACCACCATACTCTGAGGAAACAAACCATCAAGTGACATCACTAGACAAGCCATTGCTCGAGTGGAACCTGAAAGGGAAGCGGCGAGTTGGTCGTCAATGCAAGGGTGACTTGGAGGAGGTCATGTGAAGAGGATATAAAAGCATGTAGGCAGACGTGGAGCCAGGTGAAAACTCTAGCAGACAACTGAACGCAATGGAGACGTGTGGCTGAAGCCCTATGTTCCTCTATGAATTAAAGGAAATAATAATAATAATTTGATGGACGATGGGTGACTAGCAGTGGAATCCAGAATGCATACACCATTCACTCACTGAGGAATGAAAGCACATCAAACAAACGAGTTCCGAATAGGACGAAATGCACATCTCAGTTTTCACAGCTAGTTATCATCAACTAAACACGAAAAGTGTACATCGGTGGCACAGCATCAGAATGCTCGCTAACAACCCAAGTGGTTCAGGGTTCGATCCCCGGACACCAATGCACTCCTTTACCCCGCTAAACTATCAATATGACTGGTAAAGAGGGAAGGTTGTGCATGAGGCTAGCAACCCCCCACCCCCTAAAATCTAAACACCACTGCTACTGAAACTTCAAGCGTTTAGCTTATATATATATATATATATATATTGTCAACGAAATAACACTAATTTATGAGTTTGATCACTAGCACGAGCTGAAATCAGTTTAGGGAAACCATGAATATTAGGGAATACTGGACAGCTGCCTCGTCCACTTTTGGGAATCTTCATCACTACGCGCCCACCAGGATTAAAACACAGGACTTTCCGTCTACAAAGTGGACTCCTGAGTTCCAAACCAGTTCTGTGCATACTGATGAGGAGTCCCAAACGAGGACAAAACAACTTTTCATTATTCCCTGGTTTTCAATGGTGCCCCAACTCATGATCAAACTTGTAACTAATCAAATCCCTGCAAACTAATACTTAAAAATGATAATTTACAAACTTATCTTTTATTTCAGCCGGTTGAATTAGAACATATTTAACCTATAGGACTATAGGATCTAACGCAAGCTACTGTGTTTATCTGCATGACTGACCGAGTCTTCAACATGGAACTATGCACAGAAGTGAAACAGTTTAAGTTGCTACTCTCATTATACAGTACACAAAAGTAGGATTATAATGAGAAGAAATGTACATGAGAAAGAATAACAGCAGATCTGATCTGTGCCATTCCGAGTCGATTGTCGAATCATCTCACCGGTAGTCTCAAGTCACTGGTTCTTAGTGTCCTGATGACTCCGACCAAGTAGTATATACACCCACCTACCCACCCACACCTACATGATTTAAACCAACTGTCAGACATCATGGATTCATGTCAGGTTTGGATAAAATCAGGCTTAACTCTTTTCACACCGAATACTATATCGTCAGCTAACATTGCTCGAGGCAAAAGGCGATGACTTGATGTGAGTAACAAGGGTCTCAGCCATCTCATCGATTCACTTTCACTCCTTACCTAATACTCTATCCCTAGCCCTAATATCTGCAATAAATGATCGTAGATGATCACATTTGGGGTCTACACTGTCTGTATCACTTTAAATCCACTTAAAAGCACACACTTCATGCACTTATTCCCTTGATGGATTTGAATAAAGTTAAAACAACAGCGGTTTGTGCAGAATAATATGGTATCATCATTGTTTATTTCGTTGGCTTCTCATCCGCTGCTTACTTACAGCCTAAAAAATCATGAGGTTTAAGTACAGAAAATTTTTAGCATACTTGCAAATTTTACATGTTGTCAGTTGACAGAAAGTTCCACAATTTGTGAATAGTGCTCAGAAAACTGTGCTCATATAGTTTTTATACAGGCAGTTCAAGCTGCGACAAAATAAATGTATGCATATAATGGTAAAGGAGTTGCGTAATAAAGATGAAATGTGCCTTAGATGCGTAGTGAATAATAAGTTAGGTAACAATGTACTGAGTTCAACTCAAATCATAGAGACAAGAGACAAGCAAAATTACAGATTATAAAAGGTGGTGAGGGTTAAAGACAAAGATTACGTAGTCAGATGAGAGAAAAAAAGACATCCAGTTACCAAGGCCAGGAAAGATTAATAACTGCTTCTTTCTGCACACATAAATCTGGTTTGAAGCGTTTGATAGAAATTGCTTCGGCAAACTTGAAGAGAGTGGAGCTCCTTTGTCTATTGATAATTTTAAAGGATTTCTCGATTTCCACCTCATGACTCGTGTCGAAGAGATGTCTGGTAATAGCGCTACTATAAGAGTTTGTTCCCTTGAGAAGTAAGCTTTTCGGCACATGTTACCATTGTATGCATACATTTATTTTGTTGCAACTTGAACTACCTGTGTAAAAACTATATGAGCGCAGTTTTCTGAGGACTATTCACAAATTGTGGAACTTTCTGTCAACTGACAACATGTAAAATTTGCAAGTATGTTAAAACTTTTCTGTACTTAAACCTCATAATTTTTTTAGGCTGTAAGCAAGCAACGGATGAGAAGCCAAGGAAATAAACAATGATGGTACCATATTATTCTGTACAAACTACTGTTGTTCTTGCTTTATTTAAAAGCACAAACTCTATTCATTATTCATAAAACTGTTTAATTTTCGCAAAAATTCAAAGGCAAGCTTTAAAAGTAATAATTTTTCCAGGAATGTATTGTATATATATATATGAAAAAATTCTTGTTAAACATAAACTCACTTTTCTGCATGTTAGATCTACGACCAGCATCTTCAAATTCACTTCTATGAATAATACGTTTCGGTTCTGAAATTTTTTTTAAGAAACATAAAGGTGAAATGATTAAACATTAGGATAAATACAACAGGGAAACAACTGCCAATTGTAAAACCCGCTAAAGAACCATCTGAAAAAAATTGAATGGAAAACCTGAGATGATGACATTACTCGCAGAAGAAATCATAATTTTTTTTAAAGTAGCAATTTATTTAGTGAGGACTTCCCCAGTGAATATTTATATACATATATTAACTAATTGAAAAGAAATACATTTCTTCGCTTAATTTATTGCTTTTCCTAAATGTTTATTTGGTAATTTTCAAATTACTAAGCGAAATTTTGTCCCAGAGACTAGTCAGAAGTATACAGAGAACATTTTACACAGCAAACTTGTATTTGTCATTATGTAGCCGGGGAATGATTGGGACACCAATGCGTGTATTTATCAATTCAACTGCTCCTTCCTGCGGAGACAGTTATATCGGGCATACTACTAGACAGACAGCTTAGCCACCGTGTTACTGAACGTCTTCCATAGTTTTCGCAAAGGACAGGCAAAAGCCATCAGAAGCTCTGTTTTGTCACATTTAGTAAAAAAGACGGAAGCATTCAAAGTGGTTTATCACAGAACCCACCGAATATTTCCAGAGGACCCAGTATTCTTCTACTACATATAGGTGAAGCGATAGACATTCGAACCTGTTAGGCCTAAAGTATGCATTCAAAAGAACAGCTACAGCTATTGTCCCCCTTCGGGCAATTAACACCTAACCAATCGATGATGCCACCACCCTTATTCATAATTTTAATCCATTTCTTATTATCCCTTAATCTTATCATATTTCATTCATCTAAGATTTGTTTTTCTTAGCCTTTATCGACTACATCTGCCTGAGCATTTATTTGTTTAATCATACTGTTTTTCATTATTATTCTTATCATCATAAATTGCTCTACCTCTCCATTTCTATTACCAATAGAATTATTATTATTACTAGATGTACATTGTATAAGTAATATCTTATCATAGTATACAGCCTGGATTCAGGAGAAACAAGTCATGTATTGATCAAATCGCCACACTACGGATCATCACTGAACAAAGCTTCGAATGGCAGTCACCTCTCTACCTCACTCAACTTCATCGACTTTGAAAAGGCCTTCGACAGCATCGATCGAGAGGTGATTTGGCAACTACTTCGCTACTACGGGGTGCCACCGACAATTATACATCTCATCCAACAGTTGTACGACAATGCTGCATGCCAAGTAATCCACAACGGGAAACTTATAGAATCCTTTGAAGTAAAGAAGGGAGTAAGACAAGGCTGTCTACTATCGCCAATGATTTTCCTGATTGCAGTAGATTTGATAATGCGACAGACATCGGGCAGCGATGAAACAGGAATAAAATGGACCCACACAAAATACTTGAAGGGTCTGGACTTCACCGATGATGCATGTCTGATTTCCCACAAACTGGAAGATATACAAGTGAAAAGCAACAAACTGGCAGAAGAAGCATCAAAGATAGGACTTCACTTCAGGTGAACATAGATAAAACAGAGGTGATGAAGATTCCTGGTCAACACCAACAGCAGACAACAATCAGCATAAATATGAGAAACCTGAAAGAAACAACCTCCTTTACCTATTTGGGAAGCATCGTTTCAACTACAGGAGGAACTGACGAGGATATCAAAGCAACAATCGGAAAAGCAAGACAAGCTTTCATTTCTCTCAAGTCTGTGTGGAGGTCAACAGCACTCAGCATAAAAAATAGCATCCGGATTTTCAATTCCAATGTGAAGCCAGTCAGTGCTACTATACAGATCAGAGACTTGGCCAACGCGTCATAAAGAGCACCTCAAACAAACTACAGACCTTCATCAGCAGCTGCCTTCGCTCAATACTCAAGATCAGATAGCCAGCCAGAAAAGATCAGCAATAGGGATCTCTGGCAATGAGCGAACCAACCAGGAACCGACTGTACCGCAAATAGGTAGGAAGAAACGGAGATGGATTGGCCATACTCTGAAGAAACCATCAAGTGACGTCACTAGACAAGCCATTGCTCGAGTGGAACCCGAAAAGGAAGTTGTGAGTTGGTCGTCAGTGTGTGGGTGACTTGGAGGAGGCGATGTGAAGAGGAGATGAAAGAATGTGGGCAGACTTGGAGCCAGGTGAAAACTCCAGAAGAGAACCGAACGCAATGGAGACGTGTGGCTGAAGCCCTATGTTCCTCTAGGAATTAAAGGATATAATAATATCATAGTAATAACAAATCACCATGGCTGGTTTATATTTAATAATTTTAATTGCAAAATTATGCATGTTGGAGTAAAGCTTGATGATATCTAAGTGAAAACAGTACTGTTCGCCTACATGTGTTGTTCTAAATTGTATTGTGAGAATATATGAATATTTGGGAACCGACTATTCATAAAACTTTTAGAAACACTATGTAGCATGTGCATGCTGGATTCCACTGCTAGTCACCATCTACCAATTAACATCTAATTACATTATGTAACGATTCACCTTCTTCAAAGCCTCAGGATGGTCGGGGGTGGGTGCCTTGCGCTGCGGGTTGGCCACCCCTCCGCACACCTCTTGAAATGCTCCCATATGACCGGGCGTCTTACATAGCCTCTCCTGAGGAAGTCCTACTCACTGCCTTCACGTGGCGGAGGTGTTTCTCACCAAAGTGAGAGGGCGAAAGCGGATACCCGGCGCTCTCCACCGGGTTGACTGTCCATTGGATGACGGTCTAGGGGAGATGGCTAAACCCTGATTCCAAACCTCCAACGACTGGCGTATGAAGCTCACTGGAGCTCACTGGCAGACGTATGGACAAAGGGCTTGCTGGATGTCCTGGATATCTGGCCCCATTCAAAAAGGCGTATGAACCGAACTCCGGTCACCGGCTGCCAATGGATAGTGGACTCCTTACTCCACTCCTACTGCCTTGTAGGTCACACTTGGCTGTGTAAAGGCTAGAGCTGCACTCTCAAACAAAAGGCCGAGCGATTCTGGGGACATCACTCGTACCAAATTCCCATGAAACTTCATGAACTCTCTTACAAATTGCCGCGCCTGGGCAGCGATGATTCGAGACGTTCATGAAGCCGGCTCATCCTCCCGTAGGAGATAGCCGAAGTAAAGTAAAGTAAGTAAGTACCTTCTTCAAGCTGTATATCTTTGAAATATTACTAGTAAAAAAAATATAAAAGTAGCCTGGTACATATATATATATATATATATATATATATATGGTGAGAGCTGGCTGCGAACAAGCCAAAATTGTAGACAACAATTTACGTCAGTATTACGTCCCGAGTCAGGGTCATAAAAAACAATAACAAAGCTTGGCCTTGAGGAACTCAACAACCAATCACAGAGGACTTAACGTGTCCACATAGGATTCGCAGATATATGGCTTAACTTTCTGGTAAACGGTCACAACCAATACAGAGTAACCTTCAACAAGAAAACAACCAATCAGAATACGTTGCTTCTCCGTTGACAATAATGTACATAAAAATCTATAAATATCTCTTGATTTTCTCAATAAACAATCTGTTGCCTAGCCTTCGTCTTCTGTCGTTACACATATATATTCCTCATTTTTTCTTATGTTAAGGATTCATCGAAAGATATACATAACGATGACACAAAGTGTTACAGATTCACATCAAAGCAACATGTTCTGACGTTTTAGATATCCCGCTAAGGGGTACCAGATACTATGAAACTTAGATTCTGTAGTTTCTACAGACTGACTCTGATGTATACTGAAATCTACAAGATTTTCTCACTTCCAGGAGACTAACAACATTGGTTTTTAATCATGATGAACTAAATGAAATGCTATCAAGGTAAGTAGTAAAGGATAGCGCGCCTCAATGCACAACTCATAACAGCTATATACAATGAAATCAGACGTCGTGATATTAAATGAATTCTTTTAATACATGTTGAAGCGAAAAGTTAAAAATCCCACTAAAAAACGTTTGAAAACTTCGAAAAGTGACAGAGGACTGCTTTCAGTATAGTATACAAAAGAACCCAGTAATCAATAAACATGTAGATTTGAACCTTATATTTTGCCGAATCAAGCAAAAGTTCAAGAAATAAGCTGTCGACTTAAAAATTGGTTTTGAAGCAACAAAGTCTTATCCAAAGAATATACATTTTCAAAAGAATAAAAAACACCTCCGAAATATAATAACGATCTCAATGCCACTAATTCAGTTGAAAAGTAGAACAGAATCGAGACTGTTCAAGAAGAATCAAAGGAAAACCAGTTTAGCAAATCTAATCCAAAAAAAATAAGCCGAGTAACTGATTTTCAATACAGAACTTTGCATAGAAGTGGAGCAGTCCAAGTTTTCACACCATGTAGCCCATAGAGGTACAGAAAAAGATATTCAAAAGAACCAACAACAGCAGAATTGTGCTGGAGAAAGAATAATTACAAGCGAAAATATGAGGGTTTAATTAAAGGAATAGCTCACAAAGGATGTGTACATTTGCACCACTGACAAGGATTTTGGGCTACATCACCAAATGTCTCCAGTTATTGGTTCTTAACATCCTAAGGACCCCAACCAGACTGTCTACACCTCTCTACTTAGTTCAAACTAACCGTCAAAAACTTGATGGACTGGATGTTGTGTTTTTAGTTTAACCACCCCTAACTCTTCTCCAACCTAGCCCTATTCCAGTTAACATTTCTCAGCGAAGTATAAACTCCAAAGTTAGAACAAATAGAAACTTAAACAAAGGGGGAAAAACTTCGACGTCAATTGACTAAAATTATCCCTAAAGTAAAACCTAAAAACATTTCAATAATGCAAACTGAGGTGTCGGCGACCATACCACGTTGAAAGCACCGGTTCTCGTCCGATTACCGAAGTTAAGCAACGTTGGGTGCTTGCATGGGTGACCGGTTGGGAATACCGGGTGTTGCCGGCTTTTTTTAGTGCGTCAGTGGCACAACGGTAGAGTGCACTGCGACGACGTATGTGGTTCAGAGTTCGATCCGCCGCTGACGCACTCTTTTACCTCGCTAAACCGGGAATAAAGCTGGTAAGGAGGAAAGGTTGGACATGAGGCTAGCAACCCCATCCTGTAACAACTAACACTGCTACAGAAAATAGAAGCCTCTAGCTTGAAGCCCTATGTTCCACTGGGAACGTGAAGGAGTAAAAAAAACTGAGAAGGAAAGGATGGGAACCAATACAATGACCGAAGAACGTGAAATCCTGATATACATAACTGTGGTGAGAGCTGTCTGCTAGCCGAAATTGTAGACAATAATTGACGTCAATGTTTACGTCCCGAATCGGGGTCATAAGAAAAAACACTAATAAAGCCTCACCTTGAGGAACTCAACAACCAATGACAGAGGACTTAACGTGTGCAAATACGATTCGCAGATGTAGCATCTGACCTTCTAAGAAACACCCAAAAAGAGATGATACAGAATAACCTTTAGTAAGTAAGCCACCAATCAGAAGACGTCGCTTCTGTGCAAATAATAACGAATAATCATGTACATAAAAATCTATAAATATGTGTTAATTTTCTCAATAAACGATCTGTTGCCTAGCCCTTTTCTTCTGTCGTTACATATGGACTATACTATCAAGGAAAATCTAATTAGACAGAATATTCTGTACTCCACAGTTAGTTAGTCAACACTAAGCTACTCCCGGAAACAGATTGTTCATTTAACAAACTGTGAACTGCAATTAATGCATAAGATGGAGTGAGATACAAACCCCGTAACACAATGACTTGAAAGTCGAGTGACTACACCAATCAAACACATTCTACAACTGACACGAAGTTTCCTAAGAATATATTCATGAAGTAGGGCTGAAGATGACGCCTAGGCTGAAGTGGAAGGTTAACAATAAAATTCCAGTCTCAAGAGGCAATAAAACTACCAACAAAAAAACTATAGTTCTTCCATATTACTCTTCTTTCTGTCTCATATATCTCTGTTTTGAATCTCTTTCCACTCTCTTCTCCTGCTTTATGTGCTATGCGAAGTGTAGCAACTCGAACTGCTGGCACATCGGTGCAAAGTTCTACGCTGAAACCAGTCAGTCAGACCACAGGATAAATTTGTATAATGCCAAAATATACATACCATGAAATAATGAATACTTTCTTAATGAATCAGGTGTATCACTAAGTTTATTACTATAAAATTCCATATTTTCAAATATACTTGGATCGATCATCATTTCTGGTTGTTGTTGCTGTTGTTGTTGATTATGACTTAAACGATTATAATGATGATAAAATGATGGCTCATCATGATTTGTTTTATGCAAAAATTTATTTGAAGTATGATGATGTTGATGATGATATGGCATAAAGGCAAGATCATTTCGATGCGACTGAAGATAATCGAACTGTGATGCTGCTGCCGCTGCTGCAGAGGAGGAGGATGGATCATATGATCTAGGCTTATATACCGCATCATCGTATAATTTCATACGTGAAGTAGTAAATATACGACTCTCGGGCTGACTAGGCGATGGTGGTGATGGTAAATGTCGTCTAGGTGAGTATTGTGATGGTGATGAATAGTCATCTCTGTGTGTTAAAGGGATGTCATGAAATAGTGCTTTAGGATAACGCCATGGATTATCATTTGTTGAAAAGTATATTTCTGGATTGTTTTCGTTGTTATTATTACTATTATCATTATTTTTATTATGCACATCATACAGAAATGATGGTGACGATGAAGAGACTCTTTCATCAACATCAAATAATGGTTTTTGATTAAATTTAATCGGATTCGATCTTGATAACTGTTGTTCTCGATGACGATGTTGAGGCTGATGATTATCATTATTATTATTATTGTTATTAGTATTAGTATTATGTGAATTTGGTTGATTAGGAAATAGAATTGATTCTGATGGATCAGAAAAATCATTTAAATCAAGGTAAACAGGTGATGTTGTTGTTGTTGTTTTTGATGGTGCTGTCACTGTTGTACTACGACGTGATGATGTTGTACTTGGTAATTTTTGACTTAACGAATGAAATCTTTCAAATGGTAGTTGATAACTTTCATTTAGTTGAGATTTAGATAGTGTAATCTCGTCTAATTCACTTAGTTTATGATTATGAGACATTACGGGTGACACAGATGATGTTGATGAGAACGATGAAGATGCTTTTGTTTCATTTCTTTTATCCAGCCCTGTAATTGAATTGAAAGAAAAAAAAGAATCGCATATATTTCTCTGTCTTTTATCTTGGAAAAATAGAATTGATTTGCCAGCTGGCATTGGAATGAAGAATTTTCTAAAAATGACAAATCTATGACCAACTCCCTCTCCTTTCCGATAATGAGTCACACGGAAAAATATAGAGTACTAGACAACTGTTTTGGCTTAGTTTGGAACTCTTCCATCGTATACAACAATGACTGCGACAAAGATTAAGCTCCGGGATTGTCAGATTAAGGCATAAGTAACTTAAAATTTAAACGCCAGAGTTTTGGAATCTAAACCTATATGATTTTCAACTTCTATCAACTCACGATGTAATGTGATTACCGTCAAATATTGCCAATGAGTATCCATCATTACAACTGGAAATCAATAAAATCCTTCAAAATTCAACACCTTAAATTAATTGGGTATGGGAACAATTGCGCACTGGTCACATTGGACGACAGTGACTCTATTATTATGAAGTGTCAGAAGTTGAAATTGTAAAACGTTGAATTGAGATCAGATAACGAAATCCTAACTTGCTTACCACCTCGCACCCCGGTAACTTGATGGTTATTAGGTTCATCTCTACTGGGGTGGTGGGTGGGTACCTCTGAAGACTTCTGGAACAGTTGTCAAGTTTCCTATGGTTTTTCATGTATGTCTCACATTATGTCCGTTTTTAAAGGAATTAGTGTTGAAAGACGTTGTTGTAGAAGGCGTATGTTAAACATGCTTAATTAGTAACCCATCCAAATCAAGACTGAATCTCATAAATAATTAATTGAAAGTTTATACGATTATAGTTAACAAAATGATGTACTTATTATAACATTACAATAAAAAGAAGAACAGCTATTCAAAGAGTAAAAAATACTGTTTACCGTTTCAAGATGAGAAAATTGGTATTTATCATACATTCTTTTTTACCTGAATGTGACATTCAATTCAGTTAAGAAGTCATAATAATGTGAGACTGTAAAAAAGAGCACTGACAGAGTATGTTACATTTATCAAGACAATTAAGTAGAACCCACATAGCTGTATAAAGGTTTACGGAAAGTTGTCACTTGATATGATTGACATCCATCCAGTAAGGATATCCACTTTCACTACTTTCATATAACTTGATTGGGTGTATAACAACAGAAGTGGCTTTAACTAACTTATTGCTTAGAACCTGACTAACCGATTTTCTGTACATAAGTGACGGTGATAAACACAAAGATTTTTGGTTGGTGGATTTCATCATGAGCTGACATCAGTTCGAGAACCATTGAAAAACCAGCTGGGAGTACTGGACAGCCGTTTCGCCCTAGTTTGGGACTCTTCATCAGTACACACCTACCTGGGTTCTAACTCAGGTCATAAAAAGAACAGGACGAATCAGCTGTCCAGTACTCCCTGGTTGGTTTTCCAATGGTTTTCTAACTGATGTCAGCTTATGATGAAATCCTCCAACCAATCAAACAAAATCCCTAAACAACCAATACTTGACAAAGATTTTTCTTTGGTGGATGATAGCACTGAAGTGCTTGCATCATGTCCTGAATAAAGGTACCAATACTAACCGGCTAGTTACTGACGACATCTTAGCTAGGACACAGATCAACTGATAGTGACTGATCACAACTAGATATTCGTAGGCAATAAGATAACACAACGCTAATTCGTACTGGTTTTGTATATTTAAGGTTATAACTTCGACAATATGAATTACCTACAAACGTATAAACTTCGCCCTTATTATAATAAATCCTACTCATCTTTATCTCTTCTTGTCCTCACTATTTCTAAATATAACTAACATTATTGTTTCTTTTTTTATTCCTTTATATTCCGAGGGGAGCACAGAGCATCAAGCTTGAACTTTGAAATTTCAATAGCAATGATGTTCACCTTTTCACGGGATAACCTTTTCTCTTTACCGGGCTTACTAGTGGGTGGGGTTAAGGAATGCACCGGCCGGGGATCGAACCCCGGACCACATGCAGCATGGTTGGTGAGGTATTTCACCACTGAATCACTAACACACATTATTGTTTCTACAGTTATATTAACCATTCTAGTCGAAGAAAATGTTACATTTGGTCAGATATTTTAGGTTGCGAAATGACTAGAAGCTATTTTCTCAGTTGTAAATAAAATATTAGGCTGATATGGTATACAGAATGCAATTAATTGAATGATTCAGATTAGTATGAATATTTAAAATGCTATGTTGTCCAAGTAAGACTATGATTTATATAAAACGGTTAAAGACATTCTGTATTTAATCACAATACTTTATTAACAAAACTAAAAACATACTTGAAGGACATGACAATTCATCTGATCCATCTGGACATTCCACTATCCCATTACATTTGTCATAAATAGCTACACAAGCAGAGGAATCATCACATTGGAATTGAAGTTCCGGAGATTTACAAACAGACTGAACTGAAAAGGTTTTATTTTATAACTAGGAAAAAAAACTCTACTTACCACAACTGCCTTTCTTTGCAATCCAACCCGACTGACAAACACATACACCAACTGAGCATACGGTTTTAGCATCTTCACACAGATTATCTGAGTCACAGGGCTGATTTAAACCAACTTAATTAATAAACAATGATATGTTATAACAATAAGGAAATTACCCTTCTTCTTTAAACTCTGATTAACACTTGTTTCTTCGAGGTAGATGATATCATAATTGGAATGACTAGAATAAAAGCATTGGGCAGGCGGTCGGCAATCGAACAAAAAGCAGGATTGTGTAACCTAGTAATATACTTCATTTCTAAATGGTATCATAAACTCACCTTTGAATCGAAAATCGCTGTACTGCACTCATTTGTATTACAACATACGAAATAGCATTCTTTAAATGAGGAAACTCTTAATTTTTTGATAAATTTAGCGCCAGCGGAAATTGATTTCTGTGTTAAAATAACTCTGTTTGGCTTGAATTGAAAACTTTTGCCACAGCTGTTATTATCATCCACTGACAATATTAGTACTGGCCCAAAAGTAATAACAAGCTGGCATATTATAGTCAATAGAATTGAAACCCCCATATGAATACAGTTTAACAGTAAATCATTTGAGCTTAAGTGGTTCTACAACGACTGAATATGAACATAAGACTGCTAAAAGAGAAATTTAGAAAATATCATTATTTAAAGAACTTTTATGTGACAACAAGACGGTCAAACTTGAAAGGCAAGTGGTAATTATTTCCAGGGCATTACTAAATCTGTATATGAAAGAAAATTTTTGCTTTGCTTGCATAAATCTCATAAATCATTCTCCCTTACGAACAACTTTCAATTCTGAATTTTTAAAACACCAGTTAATTGGGAATTTTAAGTGGTTGTAGACGGATCTGAAAATTTACAACGTAGCCAACGCTAACAGCACCCAAGTAGCACATAAGTACGCATTTCAAATCGAGTTATTCAGATACTACTTTAAGTATGTTTAGTGTTTCGATGTGCACTTTGCTATAAACACCTAATATATCTCCGGTCTTATTAAGAAATAAATGCACTTTTTAAAAATCCTAATAGACAGTACTCGTTAGGTTTGTACGCCCAACTGACTCACTAAGGAGATAAAGTAGGACTTTACGCGAGTGTTCCTGTCAAAATGTCAGATTTCCAAGAAGAATCACCTGTTACACTTGTAACTGGATTAACACAACACGAAAGCCACGAGTATAGAAAATGTTATTATCAATAAATCAAGAGTGAGAAATAATAAAACATGTGTACCGATTTCGAAACATATGTGAGTCACATGGCACGACTAAAGAAATTCTACCTGAAAAATTATTAGGGGAAGTAAACAACACAGTGCCTCTGTTTGCTACATCAAATAAAATTATTCTACTACAAAGTTCTATCACCTAAGTGTCCAAGTTGTTCTTGTGCAAATAATACCCATGCTCACGTAAATATCTATTAGACTAGTGTGCATTCGCAACAAGTTAACATCCGTCAAAAAATCACCGTCTAGACAGCTTGTTCCATTTATTAATGTGTGAAAAAATGTCCGACAAAATCTGTCCAAGTTCTCGCTGACAGATCTCATCCCAAAAAAAGGGATACAACATATACATATATGTATATACTCATTACTAGTATACTAGTAATGAGTATATACACTAGAGACACTCGCCAAATATAAATATATATATAGCTTAATTTTGACCAATATCGCAACCAGCAGAAATACATTTGATTTACAGTGTGAGAAGATAAATAAAATTACATGACACAGAGCATTATCAGCCTAGGCAAACGACGCGTAAGTCAAGCTTACATATCCATTGAATAATTTAGGGCATTGCGCTAATTACGTTAACCTCAGCTATAGCCGACAGAACATTCCACTAGGAAGAAACGAAACAGAATAAGATAACTTAACACGATAGTACACAAAAGCACGCCTCACGATATGCACAGAGGTTCAAAATGTGTTGCATAGGACCGAAGTATGAATACACGTATGGCTGATCAGCTGAACTTCGGATTTAACCTGATTAATTACTCCCATAGATCAATTGGCTGTTTATGAACAATCTAAGTTATTGCCACTGTAATAGACTTACGACTATGCAGTCTAATTTCCCAAGTGAACAATCTTAGGAAATATTCCGTAACGCTATTTTCATTTTGAGAGGTCATATATTGGACATCAGGATACAACCTCAACATGGTTTATTAGGATTGGGGAGGTGGGTGCAACTTAGTAAGTACAGCAGCGGCATTTAGAAACTTCCTCTACGTAAAATTAAACAACTGTAGGCCCATATTTTTTATATCCATGCTAACATCTGAAAGAACAGATGATAAGATAAAAGATTTGTGGCGGCAGGTAATTCCCCAGAATTATTAGCCACAACATTCATCACTGAACATCGGATGCTGGCCCTCTCTGTATAATTTGGTCTGCATAGCTGAAGACTCATGGACGAGTATCTACGCTATTTGGGATGCCGTCTTGTTACGTTCGTTCGTTCGTGCACGATCCCTAGCTAGTTAGGCAATCAACCTCTCACTAAGATTCGGTCCCGAAGTATATTTCGTAATTTGGACAATCAATTCCGATTTTTTTCTTCACCTTTGGTCCACGCAGAATGACTACTATAGGAGTTGTATGTATTAGATCTTGCGTTGGTATACATCTCGCTATCCTTGAACGTCGACACCCTGAGCCTCTAAAGATTCATTCTCTACTATACACAGTGACACCACTGATCCAGAAGGGGGTAAGCTTTCACAGTACACACATTCTATACTACTATGATTCAGGTGCATTTCTACAGATTTTTTGGAATCATCAGACGAAGGAGCCAACACAACTTCTCGAGATAGACAATTTAATAGTTTTTTTATTTTTTTATTTTATTTTTGATTACAGCTTGATTCCACACTGTATTTTTGGTACAAGTATGGAATTTTCACCATGGATATCGGTAGCCCAAATTTTGCAAGCCGACCACAGATATCAGGTGTGCTTCGGCAGGGTATCGAACCTCGGACCATGTGGATGGTCGGCGAGAGTCCTAACCACTGTGCCACCAACGCACGAATTCCACAGATATATTATCCAGCCGGAACACCTCTCTATTGGTCAGCACGAAGATAAGATGAAAATCCGTCGAATAACAGAGGCACGTGCCGGCTTCCGAATATAATGTTATCTTAGCATGACAGACACCGGGTGTGAACGGCGGCAGTAGGTCATTTATAAGTACTAACAGTAGACGACTAAGGATGAATCTCAGAAGAACACCACTCATAGTCACCCAATATGTGGTGGCCTGCCTGAGTCACTGGACTACCGAATTTGCTGACCGTCAAAATTCCTCTTTTCATATAGATTTATTTCTGTTTCGATCGGTCAGTTATAGCAAGTGACCTACATAGGAACTTGCACCCCGATTTAATTTCCTTCAAAGTAAACTTGTGCAATTCCTCAACAAAATTAAGGTATACTACAGATTATTACTTTGCATAAAAATACCGTATGAAAAGAAGGTATTCGGGAGCTGAACGCGCTGAAAATGCTTGTAACATATGTTCACATATTGTCCGAAACATAGTTTTACTATTATTTCGATTAGGAAGTCGATATAAGAATAGATTAGCATAAACCAAATACGTATTTTCCGATTCTTTGTAACAAGTCCAATCGCATTCCTACCCGCTTAGGTTTGTGCACATCACGCCATGATTGAATATACATCGGATCTTAGACAGATTAGTCTAGCGTATGTAGGCTGCACTCTCCCGCAGACTGGTTCAGAAATCCCACAGAAGTGACTAATTATTTTCACGATATCTGCCAGGTAAAAAGCAGTGACATAAAATGGAGATTTGTAGATCAGGTGGATGATTTTGATGTCACTGTGTTCTCTGAGCTTGGTGACTTAGTTGCGAAGCTTTCATTGTCTTGCCAGACAACACCATCAGCGTGCGCTTCAGTGTGAAGTAAGCTCCTAAATTTCTACATGAGCTTATCAGCCATCTCTCCTAGCAACCCCATCCTGTAAAATTAAAACTGCTACAGAAACTTCAAGCCTTTAGCTTGAATCCCTATATTCCAGTGGGAACGTGAGGGAAAAAACACCAATACCAGCGGTCTACACTAATTGGACAGCTCACTCACAGACAATACCTTCAGCACAACTATAAACCAACTCCACTCACTCATTCATTCATTTGTCCAGTCACCAATCTAACTGACTCGAGATTGAATCGCACCTGTTGCGTATCACACTGGCTCATCGGCTACTCTCGATTTCGCCTACCATATCTGCACCGAATGATGGCATGCATACAACATCGCTGATGCCACATCACCAACAGGATGCAATCTAATCCGACTGCCTGCACAAACAACACCATCTACACGCTGAGAGAGGATGCTGAGTGTGTGATTAGATGACCAGATGACAAAGCGACACTGTAGAGGCGTGATATGCATGAGAGACTGTCTACATTTGCAAGAATTGAACAGGTACGAAGGGTGGTTTGTCGAAGCAGACTATCAGGGTGTAGTACTGTGTGGTACTCGAGGAGTAATAGTGCAGGGGAATCGACTGCACACACCTGATATGGATAAGAGGAGAATATCGTCAACGTGTGTATAGCAGTGGATGTGTGCTTGTGTTTGAATTTGTGTGAATGAGAGACAGGCATGGTGAGTTCGATAGTGAGAGGAAGCGAGGGATTGTTGAGTGGAGTGAAAGGCAGTTCGTCAATTAGCGAGCTTCTAAATATCTGTGTGTGATGTGAAGTGGAGTAAGGTGTTGTTCTATCTGGTGAGTACATTTATCTGGTGGTAGTAGTTTGTATGTTGTAGTCATTATTCACAATGTTGAATTGGCCACGAGTGATGTTATTCGTCGTGATGACGATACTGATGAGTCTGGGTGTTTACGTGACGTAATTGTTGTGAATTGAGTGGATAGAGAATGCATTTTGACGGCGGTTTATGGATTGATGTGTAATGATGATTGGTGGTCGGTGGTGGAATGATTCGATGGGCTTGCATGATGTTGTCATAGAGAATGGGGATTTTTCAGGTTGAGTTTGTAGGTGATTGGGTGAATGAGTGCGTAAGTGAGTGATTTTGTGTTTATGCGTGTTAGCATTTGAACTGTAAGTAATAACGAGAGTCGATGATGAATGTGAAGTAATGTGGTAGCGATGTGATGATGTATAGTGTTGATTGTGGAGTGTTTGGGGTTGTGGTAGTGGTAGTTGTTGTGAAAAGGTTGTATTTTGAAAAGGAGGTGGTCCCACGAGCCGATCAGGCTGTCACATGGCCATCATCCACAGGCTCCATCTCGCTCCCGCACCATGCGGTACTTTTGCCTGCTGGGTTTCCCCCTGGGCCGATGAGTCCTTCCTTGATCAATCTGGACAACCCGTTCTCCAACAGGTCGTCCACATAGGCGCCGTGCTCAGCGTGGATGTCCGATCAACATGAGCACGCATCTACCAAAACTCCCAACAGACAAGAACCTCTCAATCACATATGGCATAATGAGGCAAAGCTGTTTCGTGATATAACACCTTCGGAAAAAGCTTCTAGAAATACTTAAACATGGAGGCCTGTGTTCCTCGAATGATACTCTGAAATTTTCACTAAATAGCCGTGCTGCTGGCGCAAACAGTCATACTATAACTGTATCTAGTATGTTGGATTTTGGGGAACTGCCTTGTGGAAACAAATTATATAGGTCGCGGAAAGACCGGTGATAGTTTACCTAGAGTGCCTTGCGTTATTCTGATTGTGTGTATTAGATGTTGATTCGATGAAGAAGATTTAGGATCAAGCGAACAATCAACACCTACACAAATTGACTACATGGTGAATAAGCAAACAAAGACACCGAATCACGTTCAAGACTACCAGGAGTGATTAATGCAAGTGTAGAACTTGGGCACTATGCTAGGATGTAATTCCATATTAAATGTCACGTAGTGATGAAACATTAACAACCGGATGACGTTTTAAGTACAATTTATTGCTCAGAATGAATCAGTTTGGTCACACGGTCTCACAATTTTGAGAAGAACCTCAGAACCTGCAATCCCTCTCAGGTTGATGATATGATGTCGAAAAACCTTCTGAGGGTCCAACCTTGAGCCATTCTGTCAACTCTCCTTCCGGCAAACGCGGTATTCTAGTGTCCCTGCACAAAAATGCCACACCTTTTCCTCACCTAGACAATCTTCGCCATCAAGCTTGATGTGAGATAAGCAGGGTGCTGGACGAATAAGTGGTCGCACTCTTACTTTTATTCAGAGAAGCGACACACAGTTTACAATGGAAAGTCCTCCAGTACCTTGCCTACTGTTACCGGTGTTCTTCAAGGAGGTGTGCTTTCTCATTCTCTGTAGTCTTTCTTCTTACATAACGTGCTCCGTTCTGAAAAGGCCAATTTTAATAAGTACGTCGCTGATTTGGCTGTTTCTATGCCAACCATTTCTGAGTTAGACTGCTCTAATATGACTAACGTTTCATTAGAAATTAGTCAAGCTGTGCCAAGCTGAATCCCTCCGAATATCAGGTTGTCGATTTCAGTTTCAGACGTAGGTGGGCCCCACATGATCTGGTTAGTTCGTCCGGTTCCAGCATCACGAATGGTACGGGAGTTCAAACCAAATCGAATGTTAAGTACCTTGGACTGTGTATTTCCGCTGACCTTGCCCTGTATTCCCACATTATGTTAGTTTCCAGAAAGATATTTCGTCTGACGTTCTACGTAAAGAAGTCAAGACGGTCTGGCACCACTCGGACACAGCCTTTACAGTTTGCTAATCCATCTATTCTACCTAGTTTTCTTTATCGCTCCCACCGAATGTTTGCCAGGCTACTTAAGAAAGACCATGAAGGGCATTATAACCTGTGAATAAGGCGAGTGGGGTGTTGCTAGGCCAGCTTGTTAATACTGCTGTAGATAGACACATGGACTCAGACAAGAAATAAGGAAATATCATCTAGTCTGACTGTCTTCTTTATACACAGCTCTCTCCTTACATCCCACCAGGTTCAACTGGCGGCAACTAAAGAAGACTACATGTTCTGCCAGCTAACTATAAAATTCTACTATACCTTATTTGGCACTCATATGGTATGATGAAAAAATGTGAGATGTGGGACTAACAACGCAATGAGAAACACCCAGTAAACGGCAGTATTTCCTCATTCGTTTTCGTTATTATATTGTTGTCAATCACTACTCAAAACACTTAATGCC